TGGGACAATTTCCAGGCTCATTTCTCTTTGTTTCCTGACTCTCAGGTTTACTACCTTTTGTTTCTTGCTGTCCAGTGTCATGAAAATCATTGTTTTATATGCTTTCTCCAACTGTTGGTGGGTTTAGGTGGGAGGATAAATCTGATCCCTATTATTACATTGTGGCTGGAAGCAGAGGACACATCAATATATTTTGATATACTACACTTTAACATACTGAAAAGCAGTAAGATTCTATTAAGAATATAGAACTGATCACATTTATAGAGGACAAGTTGCTTACATTTTCATGTTTTCATAATTTACATACTGACAACTCCCACTGCATTTGACATATATGCACACATATAATTTCACCCAAAGTTTTAAAAATTATATAAATTAAGACAAAGTATGAAGTTTTAATTGGATCTGTGGTTTCCCATTTTTCTTAAGATATTTATAAAGATTCATTTGAATATAACATTATGCCTATTTTTATATTCCTAAGATAGTATTTAGACTTTATAATTAAACACTCATTTTTACTTATATTGAAATGCATACCTTCAAATTCTTAGGTAAGATGAAAATAAGGCTAATACTGAGTACACTTAGGAAATGCATGATTAAATAGGTTTATATCCCAACATGGACTTTAGTTAAATAGGGTGAATAAAAGGTAAAACTAGTTAAGTACAAGTACTATTGTATAGTATAGATTAGAAGAAGAGAAGAAACATAAAGGACATAAAGGGAAAGACAAAGAGAAAGAAATTGAAGGTAAAAAAGGCTAAAGGAAAGAGCAACCTGAAGAAGAGTAATGTTTAAATCCATTAGTAGCAATGGTCCAGTATGGCCAGGACAGGCTGAGACTAACTTTGATAGGGCTGTCTGTGAAAATGGTTCAGATTAGGGCTTGAATTTTATTTTTTATTCATTCAATAAATCTTTGTCTACTGTTTACTATATTCCAGGTATTGTTTAAAACAGAGGGCAGCAAACTATGAACAATGCTTATTTTTGTACAGCTTATGATCTAAGAAGAGTTTTTACATTTTTGAAGGTTAAAAAACAGGGTATGTAATAGAGATGGTATGGGCTGCAAAGCTTAAAATATTTGCTATTTGGTCATTACTGAAAAAGTCTATCAACCCATGGTTTAAGATATGGGGAATACAACAGTATAAAAGAAAAAGAATGGGGGAGAGAAGACTTTGCCCTTATGGAGCTGATAGTCTAGTAAGAAGAATACAGATAAACAATAAATAAGTGAAATATATAGTTTTGAGATGGTATGTAGAGATTTAGAATAAGGAGGGGAAATTGGACTGCTAGAGATGAAGTTTAGACTGCTTTATGGCCCATATAGCAAAATGAGGAGGATAGTCTTAGGATGAGGAATGATTTGATTCCTCAGAAAAGCTGTACTTTTTGAGGTGATAAAGGTCATAAATAGATAGTGGCAGGCTGAGATGGTGTCATTTTGATTGTGATTGTGGTGTTGTGGTGGGGGAAGTGAAGGGAGTGGTGTATTAACTCAAGTCCCACGTTCTGGAGCTCTTAACTCCCCTGCCAGTGGTAAGGTGAATGCTAGAAGAGGGGGTGGTCTTATTGGATTACCCAGAGCTTCTGGCTCCCTCTGGAAAGGCAAAGATATTTGGAACAGGTGAGCTGCATATTCATGGCTGGGTTTGGAGAAGGTTTACCTGAAAGAACTGTGGAGAGAAAAGTGGAGGAAGGAAGCATCACAGCAGGATCCTTGGAATGACAAGAGTTCTAAGATTAGGCATTTCCTGATACTAGCAGTGTATCAGGAGAGACCACTGACAAGCACAACATTCTAGCAGTTGAATAAATATGTAACAAGAAACAAAGTTACTCCTATTGCTAGCATCATAACATAAGAAACACCATACCAAGTCAAATCATATTCACCCATATTGTTTTTGTTAAAATGTTTGTTAAGCACCTACTATGCACCAGCACTGTTCTAAGAACTGAAAATACAGTAGTGTGCAAGAAACTATGGATAAATCTCTCATGAAATTTACATTTGAATGCTGTAGGTAATTTCAGATTTTTCCATGTGCTGTGTTGGAAGTTGTGGTTTCCATGTGCAATTTGGAAGGTACTATTTTTTTTTTAATTTTATATTTTTAAAAAAATTTTATTATGTTATGTTAATCACCATACATTACATCATTAGTTTTTGATGTGGTGTTCCATGATTCATTGTTTGCGTATAAGACCCAGTGCCCCATTCAGTACGTGCCCTCTTTAATACCCATCACTGGGCTAACCCATCCCCCACCCCCCTCCCCTCTAGTTTAAAGAGGATGGGGAGAGGGACATTCTGAGGAGGTGCCTTTTCTGTTGGCTGTTGCAAAATGAAAAGGAGCTTACCCATTCCACAAGCGAATGGGTGAGAGGAGCAAAATGAATGAAAGTGAGAAGGCCCTAAGGCAATAAAGAGCTGTTGAACACTGATTTACGACTATGGCAGTTTCTGCTCAGGCAGTTTTGTCAGAGAGCACTAAGGATCCTGTGGTGGGACGGTGCCTCCTGGGATGGCCTTCAAGCTGAAAGCTACCTTGGGCTTATTCTTCCTTTGTTTCTGTTGCTACTGCTCATAGGACCAACAAAGAGTGTAGGGAGGGTAATTTCGTTCCAAATATCACGCCCCTAAGATTCAGAACCTTTATATGGTATCCTTTCTTTGTCCACAGTGGTACAATGCATGTCCACTTCATTTATATGCTTATTGTAGACAGCAGGAGGGCAATAAATTACCAATAACCATACTAGTAATAGGAATAGCTGAGATTTATTGAAAACTTGTATGTGCCAAGCACCTCACATGTAGTAATTAATTTAGTCCTCAAGCTAATCCTGAGATGGGGAGTAATACTAACCCCATTCCCAGATGGGGAAACTGAGACAAAGAGAACTAAGTGATTTGCCCAGTTCATACAGCTATTAAGTGTTCAAAACTGGCAGTATGATTACAGAATCCTATGTGCTTAAAACTAATGTACTACACCCCCCTTTTTCCTCCAGGAACAGTCTGTAAAGATAAAATAAATCCCAGGTATACACTTTCATTTTATATGGATAGTTTGTATCTCACTTAAAATACTGCAAGTGTTTCTCATACTCTATTGTTTTCATTATCCTCATCATTACTATAAATTCATCTAGTTTGAACCTGGGAATAATTGCTTTTTTTGAGGTGTTAAGATCCCCTTTTCTTTCCTTCTACCTCCATGCCTGTTTAAACTTCTTTTCAGCTCTTTAAGTTCTTGGCTAATACAGTCAATCAATCAATCAATCAGTCAATCAATTGATATGTTCTACACTCTAGTTCTCAGTTTCAGCTCAAATATCTTTTTTTGCTTGTTGTTTCAAGTTTTTATTTAAATCCTAGTTAGTTAATATACAGTATAATACTGGTTTAAGGAGTAGAATTTAGTGATTCATCACTTACATGTAACACCCAGTGTTCATCACAAGTGCCCTCCTTAATGCCATCACCCATTTGGCCCCTTCCCCACCTCCCTCCCTCCATCAACCCTCAGTTTATTCTCTAGTTAAGTGTCAATCCCTGGTTTAAGATGTGGGAAATACAACAGTATTTCCTCTCCTTTTTTTTTTTTTTGCTTCCCTTATGTTCATCTGTTTTGTGTCTTAAATTTGTTTTTATCTGACTGACTTATTTCACTTAGCATAATACACTCTAGCTCCATCCACATCATTGCAAATGGCAAGATTTCATTCTTTTTGATGGTAGAGTAATATTTTGCTACACCCGCCCCCCCAACATCTCCTTTATCCCTCCATCAGTCGATGGACATTTGGGCTGTTTCCATAACTTGGCTATTGTTGATAATGCTGCTATAAACATCAGGGTGCATGTGCCCCCTCGAATCAGTATTTCTGTATCCTTGGGTAAATACCTTTGGGTAAATACCAATTGCTGAGTTGTAGGGTAGTTCTATCCTATATCTTTTCCTCACAATTCTGTCAGTCCTCCAACTCAATCTCTTTCTTTTTCCTGCATTTCCCCCCACAGATTTATGACTTACTGTTTTGAAGCAAGTTTTGAGGATGGAATACCAGGCACTTGACTAAGTTCACTTTTTAAAAAAACAAATATTTTATTTATTTATTAGAGAGAGAGAGAAAGCACAAGAAGGGGGAGGGGTAGAAGGAAAGGGAGAGGGAGAAGCAGACTCCCTGCAGAGCATGGAGCCCAATACAAGGCTCAATCTCAGGACTGAGATCATGACCTTAGCTGAAGTCAGCCACTTAACTAACAGAGCCACCCAGGTGCCCCGAATAAGTTCATTTTACCAGGTAATCTTACTTTTGCATGCCAGGCAGTTAGTATTTGTGCAATTAAAATTTGTCACTTAGATAAAAAACAACCAATAAATTTTATTGGGTGAAATTAATTGGGTGAATTTTTTTCCTACTTATGAGTTTTCCTTGCCTTTATGAGCAATTCCTTAGTTTACTGGAAACTAACAAACATAATAAATCAAGTAAAGCTTAAGAGATTATACTGTATATGAAAATAAGAAGTAAAATAGATTTCATTTTATAAAAACAGAAAGTAACTCCAAATACTCTAAAAAAAAAAACCTCAAAAACCTTTAGTTAGTGGAAAAATGGCTTTTTATTATCAATTCATTCATTCATTTCTTTTCATATTTTAAGTCAAATCTAAAAAATTCTAACAAATCACACAATGCCTTCTAAATTTGACTTATATATGAGAATGCCATATAAGAAAACATAAATTAGAGAGCTAAACATTATCATTGACTTTACTTCATTTATATTTCTTTTTTTTCCTTTTCATTTATATTTCTAGTCAACATATGCAGTTCCTTTCATAAGATGAATTAGCTACCTAACTTCACTCAACAGGTTTTACTTACTCATCTCTATGTGTGCTACAGAGCCCTGGACAAAATGACCAAAATACAACAGAGCAAGACATGTGAAAAATTCCTTACCTTTAAAGAAGACAAAATTCCCATCACTGTTTTCATAAACTGCATCGATACTAGGAGGCAAGCCCCGCCAGAAGTAAGTAATTTGCATGGGGTATCCATCCATCACCCTGTTGTTTCTCACTCGCCAAAACCACTGGTCCTGCAAACCAAGCAAAAGCATCTCTCAACAAACATGCAGGCCTCCATGGCATTTCCCTGTGCAATGGTGTAACCCTTCTAAAACTAAACTAGTATCATTTTCACTATCTCACACCAAAACCATCAAAGAAACAGCTAATCAACTTGCTTACAGTGATCACAATTGTTTTTGTAGCTAACCGCCCAATCTTTAATCCATACAATGTGATTAAAAGATAATATAAAAATATTTAACCTTAGCATTTTACATTATCTCCAGGGCTTTTAGATGGAAAAAAACAGAAGTAGCACAGACAAATCACTGCCAGATTTGTGGATTAAGTCACTTTCCTGAATAAGAGAGCAGCATTGGACTTGTATACATTTACAGACATATACAAGATCTCCACACCTAAAATGTTAGGGATGGAATAAAGAGGCCATCCCTCCTGCTATGCCCACATTATACCCATTATCCCCTGTAACTGTAAGTAGTGTCCTCTTTCACCCTCAAATATATTTTGGTCTGGATGATAAATTATATGGTCACCCTAAATGAACAAAGTTATCTTGAAAAGAATCATCACAGTGATTCCAATCTGGGTCAACTGCCTCTCCTATATGCTCTCACAATATCCTGACTTTACTCAATCATAGCATCAGTCATTTTATGTAAAAAGTGTCTACTCTTATATCTAGTGAAAATACATGACTTGCCCCATAGCAAGTATTTTTTTTTTTTTTAAGATTTTATTTATTTATTTGACAGAGAGACACACAGCGAGAGAGGGAACACAAGCAGGGGAAGTGGGAGAGGGAGAAGCAGGCTTCCTGCCGAGCAGGGGGCCCGATGCGGGGCTCGATCCCAGGACCCTGGGATCATGACCTGAGCCGAAGGCAGACGCTTAACGACTGAGCCACCCAGGTGCCCCATAGGAAGTATTTATAAATGTTGTTGAATTAATCACTAGCTTGCATACAATATGTTTCACCATAAATTCTTACTAATGGCAAAAAAAAATAACTTCCAAAAAAAATGTTATTCCTGATGACATTCAGTTATTTTCTATGGAAAATTTCAGAATAAAGACTATCCAAAGTGCTTTAGTATTAGAAAAACTCGGTATATTTTAAAAGATACCATTTCACTTCATTTCAAAATTTTGTATTTACAAACAACATTTCACTTGGAGATCACATATTTGTACTACTTAGATAAGTATGTTTCACGAAAATACTTCCAATTTCCCCTACTTAGACATTAATGAGTGATTTATTATAGGGCTTTCCCAATCTTTTGGCTTACAATAGTTTAGCCTGACTAGATTTTCTAGGATTTGTGAGTTATTCATATAGTCATTCACACACACACAATCAACTGGGGATTCTTGGATTTCAGGTGAAATGATAAAAATGAACCTTTTCCTGTCTAAACCAATCCAAATATAAAAATTTTCTTAGGAATCTTTGGATAGTTGTACTTCATTCTAGTTATCCTGAGCTGTCTTCTCTACGAACTTTTTTATAAAAAGAAGGAAGTAGCTTAATTAACAGCTCTAAGTTTGTATCCTATTCTTGCTCTGTCCCTTAATAACAGTTATCCTGGTCAAGATATGAGTCATTGAGGGGGCGCCTGGGTGGCTCAGTCGTTAAGCGTCTGCCTTCGGCTCAGGTCATGATCCCAGGGTCCTGGGATCGAGCCCCGCATCGGGCTCCCTGCTCCGCGGGAGGCCTGCTTCTCCCTCTCCCACTCCCCCTGCTTGTGTTCCCTCTCTCGCTGTGTCTCTCTCTGTCAAATAAATAAATAAAAAAAATCTTAAAAAAAAAAAAGATATGAGTCATTGAGTTATTACAAACTAATAACTGACTCATAGTATAGATACTCTTATTTTATTTACTTTATTTTATTTTTATGTAGGCTCCATGCCCAGTGGAGCCCAGTGCAGGGCTTGAACTCAAAACCCTGAGATGAAGACCTGAGCTAAGATCAAGAATAGGACACTTAACGGACAGAGCCACCCAGGCACCCCTAATTACTGTTTTAAGGACTTTCTGAGGACCTGGCACACAGTTGGCTGTTATTATCATTAAAATTATATTGAAACTAGTTATTTTATTTTCCTTCACAATCCTGTTTACAGTTCTAGCTGCTGTTCTTTGTTCCCTCTTCAGATTTAAGCCATATTATGGCTCTAGCCATGCATCTCTTTTCTACCAATATCTTCTTATGTTATTAACCTTTTCTTGATAATTTTTATGGTGCCAGCTAACCTGGAATTAATACATATCTTGATTCACATATAGCAGACACATTAAACTGATTTTAAAATACAAAGTTATTCTATGAAAAAAATTGATCCAGGAAAATTAACATGGGCATGAAGATCCAGGGCTTACTGCTAATAGTATGTGAGCAGATGATATTTTGATCTGATTTATTTTTATTTTTTTATAGGCTTATTTATTTATTTGAGAGAGAGAGAGAGGACATGGCAGGGAGGGGTGGAGGAAGAGGGAGAGAGAAACCCAAGCAGACTCTGCATTGAGTGTGGAGCCCAACACAGGACTCCATCCCAGGACCGCAAGATCACAACCTGGACCAAAACCGAGAGTCAGAGGCTTAATCAACTGCACCACCTAGGTGCCCCTATTCTGATAATTTAAAAGAAAGCCAGCATCTTTTTGTCGAACTATGAGAGCTTTTAACTGGGTATTAAAACTATGCCAATCTCTACCTAAAATACTGTTTTTTTTTTTTTTTAAGATTTATTTATTTTAGAGAGAGAGAGAGCATGAGTGGGAGGGGCAGAACAAGCAGCGGGAGAGGGAGAGGGAGACAGAAACTCAAGCAGACTTCATGCTGAGTGCAGAGCCCAATGCAGGGCTTCATCTCAAGACCCTGAGATCAGGACCTGAGCCGAAACCAAGAGTCAGATGCTTAACCAATGTGCCACCCAGGTGCCCCTCCGCATAAAATATTCTTAAGTTATTGTAATAGATATCCAAAAATTAAAAAAAATGGACTCGGACAAAGAAATAACTGACCATCATTATTAATGGAACAATGAAACTGAAAGCTCTCTGAGCTGAAAGATCAGAAAAAAATCAGGTAAAAAAAAAAAGCCTGAACTATATTCCAATTTTTCTCAGAGAAGCATTTCACATTGTTCTATCTCCCTAATACTGAGACAAGGCCAGTGGCTTCTTTGGGACAGACATATGCTGCTGTGTGAAGATAGGAACACAACCTCAACTTGCCACTAATATGGGAAGAAATGGAAATTTTGCCTCAAGATAAGCATAGTCAATTTGCAAAAATTCAGAAAGTAATATGGAATCATAGGTGAATTCAGAATGATTTCTCATTTACAGCAGCCTTGGCGGAGAGTGATATAAATCGTCAATATTCAGGTTGTGCTTCTATTCAACTTATCCACACCTTCTCAGAGTGGTAGAAAGCAATGGTACAAATAATTTAGCAAGCACCCTGTCACAGAGGCTGTAAACATATCACAGTCACTCTAGATTGCCATTTCAGAAATTGAGCTTGTGAACGATTCATAGAGAGAGGATATTTAAAATGCTCTTTAAGTCTCTATGCAAATTTTCCTTCTAAGTGAAACCTCCTCTGACCACACTATCTAAAATTGAATTCCCTCACTCCACCCACCCACATGTGCTTTCAATCTCACCCTCCCTTGCTTTATTTCCCTTCACCATGTTGATTACTGTTTAACACAGTACACGTTTTATTTATTGTTCATTCTCTCTCCACTAGAATATAAGCTCCACAATGGCAAAGATATCTGTCTTTGTTCATTTGTGGTTCCCCATTTCCAGAAAATGTCTTGCACATGGTAGAAGCTTACTAAATATTTCTTGAAAGGAAACACATTTAAGGAGGAAAGGACAAAGTAAAGGTAAGTTATCCTTTTAGAAGTCAAAAGCTATGCAGATTTCACAAGAATACACAAGTTCCACTTGAACAGGCAGATGTTTAGTATATATTCCATTATTTAGAAAGGTATGATATATAAAGGTCTTTGAACCATGCAGGAAAAAAAAAAATTGTTTCACTCTTCCAAACAATGTAGGTTTTGTTTTGGCATTCGGTGTAAAGGGAAAGAAAGAAGAATCTGAGCTCTAAATCTGTTGTTTCTATCTTGCTACTGGCCTTTTTTGGCTACAGCCCTTATAAAAGGGGGTGGGAGGGGTGAAAGCATACCCTAAAAATAGTCAAAACTAGCACATTTGCAAAATCAACTCATGAAAAAAATAGTGCTTAAAAACTATCAAAGAGGAATTCCTACTTAAACCCCAATATTTCACTTTAGATACAAGTTTACACAGATTTCTCTTTCCATGTAGCAAGAGTCCCAGGCAGACCACTTTGTTCACAAAGATAACAAATACAGAGTACTGCAGGATGTACACCATGAGACAATAACATACAAGAGAAATTGGTTTGCTTTTTTAAATTCCCTTTAAAATTCTGTCTTACTACAGGCATATTGTTTGCTGACAACTCTAGAGAACAAGTATCCTCCTGCTGTCTGAATACGAAGATCGGTTATGGATCTACTCTCAGGAGAGGGTGCTATTTTCAGACTTCTTTTTAGAAGCCAATTAGTAGACCTGATCTACTTTTACTTCTCTTCTAATATACGTATTTGTTATTTAACCAAAAACTTGATGTAAATCTGTGAATGCCTCACGTGTCCAAGCTGAACATTTCCAGAAGGCATCAGTTGCTCTCTCAGCCCTCGCCTGCCATGCGACTGTGGGCTTCCTCCAGTCTTCCCCACCTCGGAAATAGCATCTCAAAACTCTTGATTCCTTGCCATCATCACTGTCACCATCCTACTCCGAGCCGCCACTGTATTTCACAGACTGCAGTGCCAACTCAAAGCTACCGATTTGCCTCCTACTGCATCTAAAATGGAATTTGAACTCGGCCCTTGTCTCCAGCCCCTGCACATCCATTGCAGGTCCCTTTTGTGCTCATGACGCTCTACCTAGTCT